TAAATTGGGGAAACACCGGATTTACAGACCAAACACGAGCAAAGGCCCTCCCCCCAGCCACAAATCCCCCCAAAGTCCCAAAAGTCCAACACCCCAAAAGTCTCTGCTCCGGGTCAGTGCTGCCCCAGGGTTCAAAAGTTCACCCGGCAGAGTTTCACCATCCCAACCTGTAGGGGGTAAGGATCAATGCACTTTACGTGGTCCCGGTGGTAGCTCCGCCTGTCGTCCAGTGAGCCGCCTTCCAGTGAGCCACCTTCACTGTCCTTGCCAGATGATGTTGTGAAGACCAAGACTTTAACAGGGTTCAAAAAAGAACTAGATAAATTCATGGCAGTTAGATCCATCAATGGCCATTAGCCAGGAGAGGTAGGAATGCTTACCCTAGCCTCTGTTTGTCAGAAGCTGGGATTAAGCGACAGGAGCAGGATCACTTGGATCAGGTCTAATTTGCTCAGACAAGTGGATTTGCCTCCCATCTCATGCTGTACTTTGCTCAGGTTAGCTCTGAGAACATCAAACAGCAGCGACAGAGGCCCCATTTTCTGAAAAATCAAAAAGGAGTTGTATGAAAAGTGGAAGCTAGGTCAAATTACAAGGGATGAGTATAAGCAAACAACACAGGTATGCAGGGGCAAGATTAGAAAGACAAAAGCACAAAACAAGCTAAATCTAGCTAGAGATGTAAAAGGTAACAAGAAGATGTTCTACAAGTATATTCAGAGCAAGAGGAAGACCTAGGAAAGTGTAGGCCCATTGCTCAGTGAAGACGGAGAATCAATAACAGGAAACTTGGAAATGGCAGAGCTGCTTAACGACTTCTTTGTTTCGGTTTTTGTCAAGAAGATGGATGGTGACAGCATGCCTAACATAATGAATGCTAATGGAAATGGGGTAGGTTTAGAAGTTAAAATAAAAGAACAAGTTAAAAATTACTTAGAAAAGTTAGATGTCTTCAAGTCATCAGGGCCTGATGAAATGCACCCTAGAATACTCAGGGAGCTGATAAAGGAGGTATCTGAGCCATTAGCTATCATCTTTGAAAAGTCATGGTAGTCGGGAATGATTCCAGAAGACTGGAAAAGAGCAAATATCGTGCCCATCTGTAAAAAGGGAAATAAGAACAACCCAGGAAACTACAGAACAGTCAGTTTAATTTCTATGCCAGAGAAGATGATGGAACAAGTAAATAAGGAATCAATCTGCAAACATCCGGAAGATAATAAGGTGACAGGTAACAGCCAGCATGGATTTGTAAAGAACAACTCAAGTCAAACCAATCTGATAGCTTTCTTTGATGGGATATCAAGTGTCGTGGATAAGGGAGAAGCGGTGGAGGTGGCATACCTAGACTTTAGTAAGACATTTTAATAAGCATGACCTTATTATCAATAAACTAGGGAAATGCAACCTAGATGAGGCTATGATAAGGTGACTACATAACTGCCTGGATATCCATTCTCAGAGAGTAGTTATTAACGGTTCACAATCATGCTGGAAGGGCATAACTAGTGGGGTTCTGCAGGAGTCTGTTTTGGGAATGGTTCTGTTCAATATCTTCATCAGTGATTTAGATGATGGCATAGAGAATGTGCTTATTAAGTTTGCAGATGATACCAAGGTGGCAGGGGTTGCAAGTGCTTTGGAGGATAGGGACAAAATTCAAAATGATCTGGACAAACTAGAGAAATGGTCTGCGGTAAACAAGTTGAAGTTTAATAAGGACAAATGCAAAATACTCCACTTAGGAAGGAACAATCAGTTTCACACATACAGAATGGGAAGTGATTGTCTAGGAAGGAGTACTGCTGAAAGGGATTTAGGGGTCATAGTGGACCACAAATTAAACATGAGTCAACAGTGTGACACTGTTGCAAAAAATAAATCATGGTTCTAGGATGTATTAACAGGAGTGTTGTGAGGAAGACACAGGGGCTGTCTCTACACTGGGCCACTTATTCCGGAAAATCAGCCGCTTTTCTGGAATAAGCTGCGAGCTGTCTACACTGGCCCTTGAATTTCCGGAAAAGCAATGACGCTCTACTGTACAAAATCAGCTGCTATTCCGGAAAAGCTACGCTGCTCCCGCTCGGGCATAAGTCCTTATTCCGGAACACTGTTCCGGAAAAGGGCCAGTGTAGACAGCCCAGTAGTCTTTTCCGGAAAAAAGCCCCGATCGCGAAAATGACGATCGGGGCTCTTTTCCGGAAAAGCGCGTCTACATTGGCCACAGATGCTTTTCTGGAAACAGGGCTTTTAC